AATAACTTAATAATGATAAGGAAGTGTATTTCTTAATTTAAATCTTATACTGAAATACATCACCTAATGTCAAGAACAATACTAATTACTAATGAAATGAGAATATACTCTAATTTTGTTGGAGGAACACTTGGAACTTTGAGACAAAAACATGCATTAATGATAGCTGCTTTGGCAAAAGAAACTATCATCAGATGAACTGGCAACCTACAGAATGGGAGAACATTTTTGCAATCTATCCATCTGACAAAGGCCTAATATCCAGAATCTACAAAGAACTTAAACAAATTTACGAGAAAAAAACCAAACAACCACATCAAAAAGTGGGCAAAGGACATGAACAGACACTTCTCAAAAGAAGACATTTAGGCAGTCAACAAGCATATGAAAAAAAGCTCATCATCACTGGTCATTAGAGAAATGCAAATCAAAACCACAATGAGATACCATCTCATGCCAGTTAGAATGATGATCATTAAAAAGTCAGGAAACAACAGATGTTGGAGAGGATGCGGAGAAATAGGAATGCTTTTACACTGTTGGTGGGAGTGTTAATTAGTTCAACCATTGTAGAAGACAGTGTGGCGATTTCTCAAGGATCTAGAATCAGAAATACCGTTTGACCCATTTACTGGGTATATATCCAAAGGATTATAAATCATTTTACTATAAAGACAAATGCACAAGTATGTTTACTGTGGCACTATTTACAATAGCAAAGACTTGGAACCAACCCAAATGCCCATCAATGATAAACTGGATAAAGAAAATGTGGCACATATACACCATGGACTACCATACAGCAATAAAAAAGAAGGAATTCATGTCATTCTCATTCTCAGGGACATGGATAAAGGTGGAAACCATTATTCTCAGCAAACTAACAACAGGAACAGAAAACCAAACACTGCATGTTCTCACTTATAAGTGGGAGTTGAACAATGAAAACACATGGACACAGGGAGGGGAACATCACACACTGGGGCCTGTCAGGGGGTTGGGGGCAAGGGGAGGGATAGCATTAGGAGAAATGTCTAATGTAGATGACATGTTGATGGGTGTAGCAAACCACCATGGTACACGTATACCTTTGTTACAAACCTGCACGTTCTGCACATGTATCCCAGAACTTAAAGGAAAAAAAAAAGATAGTTGCTTGGAAGAATTTTTCTGTTTTCTCTCTCTAATGGGGAAGGGAGAAAGAACAGATTCTAGAGATAGACTTGGGTTCAAATCTTGACTGCCCTTTATTATGGATGTGATTTTAGGCTAGATAAGTAACCTCTCTGAGGCTCAGTTTCTTCACCTGTAAAACAGGAATAACAATAACTACTTTTTATAGTTAAATGTAAACTAAAAAAAGTTGCCTGGTATATAGTAGGAATTTAGTATGGTGACTATCAGTGTTATTAGCATTCACTGGCTTTTTTCCTGGAAGGCAAGAAAAATATAAATACAAAAACATATAAATACAGACAACTGCACTTCTACTGTATCTGACCTAAGGGACACTCAAAGCCATGTTTCTCTATTTCCATTATCTCCTGTGTCCAGGGAGAAATCAGGTTCTATACAAATTTCCCTTAACAGGAGGGAAGACAGGACAACAGGAAGACAGGATTAAAAGAAGACATTAATTATAAGCTCCCACTGAGTGTTCACGATGTTCCATGGTACTCCCTATGCACCATGCTATGTTTTATACATGATCTTGTTTAATCCTTACAACAACCCTACAGGGTAAGCATTAGTATTCTGTTTAAAAAGAGGAAGTCAAGCTTACAGTTTAAGTAATTCATCCACAGACCAGTAACAGACCTGCTCTGTCCAGTAAGTGACAGACCAAAAATTCAAAACCAGATCTGTGTATTGAAAGCCTTTTTCTTTTTAACGACATCATACCACATCCTACCAGGAAGACACAATTTATAAACAACATGTGACATAGTAAGAATATATATTTGGTCTCTGCCCTCAGTCCCTGGCACAGAGCTCCTAAAACCCTTGGAATTCCCTAGATGACAAGAATGAGAGGAGTATCTTTTGTCATTTGTAATAAGCCCCTTTCAATAATACCTGAGTTTATGAGGTGACTTTTGGAGACTAGGGGCTGGCTGCTAAACCAGTCATAAGATTAGAGGGTTTTAACTTTTGGCCCCACCCCCTCATCCTGACCTCCAGGGAGGGGAGAGAGGCTGGAGACACAGTCAATCACCAATGGCTTAATGACTTAATCAATCATACTTAGGTAATGAAACCCCAATAGAAGCACCTAAATGATGGGGTCTAAAGAACTTTCAGGCTGGTGAACACACCCATGGGAAGGGAGGGTAGCGCACCTCAACTCCATGGGGACAGAAGCCTCTATGCTCTGGACTCTTCTGGACCTTGCCCTATGTACCTCTTCATCTGGCTGTTCACTTACATTCCTTATAATATCCTTTATAATACACCTATAAATGTAAGTAAAGGATTTCCCTGAGGTCTGTGAGCTGGTATAGCACATTATCAAACCTGAGGAAGAGATCATGGGTATCTCCAATTTGTAGCCAAGTCACACAGACATGTGGGTAACCTGAGGACCCACTACTTGTGACTGGCATCTGAAGTGGTGAGTAGTCTTGTGGGACTGAGCCCTTAACCAGTAGGGTCTGCACTAACTCTGGGTAGTTAGTGTCAGAACTGGATTAAATTGTAGGGCACCCAACTGATGCTCCAGAGAACTGGAGAGTTACTTGGTGTGGAAAACCCACATAGCTGGTGTCAGAAGTGTTCTGTGAGTAGAAACAGATCCTAACAATAATAATTCAACAGTACAGTGAAGGGATTACATACCCTAAGTGATACAGAAACTGTTAAATTAACATGAAAGCTGCATTTCAGGTGCTCATGTTGAATCACTTTTAAACGTATACTGAATTAAAGAGATAACTCCAGCCAGTGAATGTGAACTTGTCTGTAATGATTATATATTAAATAAACTTGACCTTGACATCTTATATCAAAGCTGAAAAGGGAATTGTTAGTCTCTCAAGAGGAGCACCACCAAGTTATTTACAATTGGGGCATTATGATGATTTTAGAAAACAGGGAAGAGACATATCAAGGAAAAGAACGATTTTTAACAAAATCAAGTGATTTTCAATATCTCCATCATCGAAGGCCTTTTTTTTTTTTTTGAGGTGGAGTCTCACTCTGTCGCCCAGGCTGGAGTGTAGTGGTGTGATCTCGGCTCACTGCAACCTCAGCCTCTCAGGTTCAAGCAATTCTCCTGCCTGCCTCAGTCTCCTGCATAGCTGCGACTACAGGTGTGTGCCACCATGCCTAATTTTTTTGTACATTTTTAGAGACGAGGTTTCATCGTGTTAGCCAGGATGGTCTCGATCTCCTGACCTCGTGATCCACCCACCTTGGCCTCCCAAAGTACTGGGATTACAGGCATGAGCCACCACTCCCGGCCATCAAAAGCTTTAACTATCAAGTACCCTAAGAAATGCATTAAAAAACCCATGTAATTATTAAGGAAAACAAATCCCTTAAGTAAAGGGAAAGAGCCAAGGTAGAAGTATATCAGCTGCTAAAGTAAGGAAGTTTTTGATATTACAGAACATGGCAAGCCCTTTTAGTCACTTAAGTACTGGGTCTTCATAAAAAGTTTAGGTGCTTCTAAATTTAAATGTCTGAAATTACAACAGATTAGCAGAAGTAATATAGTCTATAGGATATATATAAAAGTATATCTTATAAAAAATTAAATGTAGGACAATATTACACAATAGAGTATATTACAGCTTTTAGAATTGTTTAAGAAAATGGTGTGGTAGGCAGAATAATGGCTTCCCAAACTTGTCCACACTCTAGTCCCCAGAAGCTGTGCATGGCAAGAGGGACTTTGCAGATGTGATTAAGCATCTCCAGAGGGGAAGATTACGCTGAATTACCTGGGTGGACCCAATATAAACACAAAGAAAGGCAGGGGTGTCAGAGACAGAGAAAGAGATTTGACTATGCTGGGGGCTTTGAACATTTAGGAGGGGACCATGAACCAAGGAATACAGTCAGCTCCTAGAAGGTGGAAAAGGCAAGGAAACACATTCTTCCCTGCGGCCTCCAGAAGCACACAGCGCTACTCACTGATTTTAGGTTTCTAGAGTCCAGAACTGAAAGACAATGTATCTTAGAGCTCTTCACAATGTAAGCTTTTCCCTCTTTCTCCGTGAATGAGAGGCTTTGTTTTGCTGGGTGCCCCCAAGAGTCTATGGCAGGCTCCTTTTATTATTAACAATAAACTAACTCCTGAAAACCAAGCCAAATACATTCTGACTCAAGACTGAACTACCTTTCCGGTGCAAAACTAACCAGGAATTTGATGTTCAGTTATAAAAGTCCTTTAGTGAAATTCTAATACTTCCTACTACCTATAATTTGCATGTTACAGCATTATTCTATGTAGAATAGCTACAATACAACACTGATCTAAATTCTTTGAATATCCCTTTAGCAGCCTGTCTCATACTTTTCTTTCTGTTTGTATCTTTGGACGACTAGCACATTATGCCTTTGAGATCCCCATCTCAAATTCTCCCAAAGCCCTTATAATTGTTTGGCTATCATAAGGTTTATTTGTCTACATACCATAAACTTATTTTGTTTTCCGTATTTGTTTTGGCTGGCTACAAACTGGGAGAGTGGATGTCCATAAAGGTTACCAGACTAAACTGACATCCAGTAAAATTTGAATTCCAGCTGAATAACAGATCATTTTTTAGTACAAACATGTTGCAAGTAACATGTCCTGCATTTTTATTTGCTAAATCGGCAATTCTAATGCTCTAACTTCTTGCAATGAACCTAGTCCTGGGTAGGTATATTACAGGTAGAAGGACAAGTAAGAAATGTTTTCAACTTCAGATTTTTAAATCAATGTCTAATTTTCAAAGAACTACCTATGCTAAATCTTATAATTCAATCTTTAATGATCAGAAACATGGTTAAAATTTTTAGAAGTTTATCATATAATGTGAATGAAAAAGACCATTTTATTTACCCCTTCACTAAAGATTTTAGAAATCTCATATTCCTATATAGTTTCTCATATACTATGCTCAAATTCCTAACCTCTATTCCAGGTATGGAATAGGACTATAGTCTTCAACCTTGAAGATTAAATTCTCATCCACTCTCCAAAGAGTGTGTATTCTGAATGGCTTCCCCAGAAGTGGGGGTGAATTTGACAAATTACTAAACGACAAAGAAAAGAGCACAGACTGGATTCACTTATCCTTCTCTTTGACAGCATCACTCATTAGCTGTGTTACTGTTCTTGAGAATTTACAGCTTCTCTTCACTAAAATTCCATGTACTTTTTAGTTCTGGATGTTTGTGTGTTACAGCAGAGCAACAGCTTTTAAATGCCAGTGGATGGTAGAGTTTTTATTGCCTCTGTGAAATAAGCACAATGAAGTAAGCTTTTCATAAAGGTAAATGTTTCTAACCTAAGAACAGCGCCTTTAGTCTCAGAGATTATATCCTTTTATTTTTTATTGTTAAACTTTCTTTTATGAAATTATGATGATAGTAGATGTAAAGATTTTAGAAAACATCCTTCCTTTGAAAATTGGTTGGCAAATTTATGTCTCCCAAACTTTTAAAAAAACTTTCATATGTCTGTAAATTTAAATGTATGAGCATAATGCAGAATGCCTTTTATGTCTGTTTCAGAACTACCACTTCATGTCTAACAATGTTAAGTAATTTTACCTCTGACTCATGTATCTCCAGTTTTGGAAGTAGAAAGAGGTGGACTCAAGGAATTATTCTAGGCTGAGGACATGTTGGTGGAAAAAGAGTATTTCCATTCCCTTGTAAAGTTCAGAAAACATGTTTTAAGTTTTTTTCTTTCCTACTGGAAGATCTGAATTACGTGCCCTGATCTCTGGCACAGTGTTACTTGATATATTTTAAACATTGTTGTTTTGGTTAAGTCAGCAGTAACATGTGCACTCTATAAATGTCAAACATAAAATGCAACACACTCAGCATTCTATAAAGCATGGCAAACAATTCAGCATTGCAGACATTTGAAATATCTATAGTATAGCTCAGCTCATTCTCACTTGGAACAAAGAAATTCTTTTCCCCCCAGTTCTTATGGCTAACACAGATTAGGAAAGCTCAAGAATATTTCCTTGCTTCTTTCAGAAGAAAAGGCTTTTGATAAACATGCTGGGAGAAATCATGAAATATTATGAATTTGTAGTGTTTAAAAACATAGAATATTTAGGCATGTACTGTTATTTTTCAAAAATCCCATTTGATTTAACCCTTTATAATTTACTTTAATCCTCATGCCATCCCTTCAAGGTATATGTTGCTATCCATGACACAGAAGAGCATAGAGAGGCTGAGTATAACTTAAGCAGCTCAGACGAAGTTACATAGCTAATGAGTGATGCCGTCAAAGAGAAAGGTAAGTAGGGTAAGTGAATCCAGTCCGTGCTCTTTCCTTCTAGATCAAGTTGTATACTTATGTCTTCTGGTTGATTCTGAAAATAGGAATGGCTCTTATCTACTGCAGGTTATTTAACCATGGCATAGACAAAACATGTTTACAATCCTTGTCCAGCCAAAAATGGTATTTTGGAAGTACCTTTACATAGTCTTGGTTTGGTAGAAAATTTTGATGAAGAGATATGATTCAAAAGCATTTTAATGCACAAAGCCACTCCTAGCTCAGGATGACTAACCATAACCCACCAGCTGTTTCACAGCATGAATTTCAGTGTAGCTTACAGCCAATGAGCAATGAAAAAAAATTGCATCTGTGACCCATTTTTCTTTAGTTTCTAGTCATTTATATCACACACAGAACTGGATGGAACCTAAGGAAGTAATCCTTAGTTATTTCCAATTTTTTTCACTTAAAATACAAGTACCTCTCTGGGAACAAGATGAGGTTGAATGGTTGAATGAGGAAATATGAGAAAACACACACATACAAAACATAATGACTAGTAATGTCATCCTCAACTTAAAAAATACATGAAAGATTCCTATCCAAAAACATCTCACAGTTTCTGCTAGAATGTCATGTCCCTAATAGTGCTCAGCCAATATCAGATGGTTACTTCGATGGGTCACATAGGACTATAAAAACATTTGTGTTTGATGCAGTGGGTACACTGTTGGGATCCCAATAATAAAAACACAAAACTCCCAAACTGGGTTTTTCTGATTCTATGCTTTAAATATTTGTACTGTTGTTTTTATTGATGCTTTTATTTTGTTTCTAGTCTTAATTTCTTTCTCTCTCTGAAAGAACTTTCATTTAAGGCAAGTCTTAAATGAAATATCACGCTGTCTAGGAAAAGATATATTGGCTGCAATGAGGAGGATGGAGTGATGGAAGAGTGACTAAGTCTGTGTGTGTACATGATTAATATAACTATGTAACATAATTTACGGAGAACTTTCTAACATAATTTTCAACTGAATTCACCCAAAGATCTTGTTAAATTGGTGTCATCCCCTCTTCTCTTTAGCTGAATTGACATAAAGAAAAGAAGACTTGTGCTTATTAAGGGAATTTGGAAGTCACGGTCTCCATTTAATAGATGGGGACTAAGTAGCAGGTCTTGACTGAAACACCAGCTCTCTCTCTTAATAGCTGTGGGATCTGGGGCTAGTTTCTCATGAATCATTTTTTTCTCATTTGTACTTGCTGGAGGAAACTGAAGTTTATTATTTTCCCAAGGGCAACAAAAATAGTCACTGGAGGAATTATGCCATGGACTCCTGTTGATTTAAGGAACTATAAGAAACATTTCACTGCACTGTCACAACAGTGAATCAGCTAAGAAGCCTGGCCTCCTCTGCTGCTCTGTGTCTACATTCAGGCATCAAGAAGCAACCATATGGTGGTTTTAATACAACTCATCTCTGTGAATTATAATCTCTAATATGTGTGTGTGCATCTCCCAAGGATATTGAAGTTTGAGCTCTAGGGGAAAAATTATACACAACTTTATTCTTGAGAAATAAACAATTCATTACAATGCACCCCTGGTTGGAGCATGCATAGGAGTGTGAGGTTCACACTCCAAAGTCTTTATTCATTGACAGAGTTAAAACAGAAGAAAAATAACAGAAAAATCATGGTAAATGTTATACATTCCTTTAAAGTACTATATTAATATACCAGGATTAAGAATGACCACATCAATCACTTTTTTTTTGTATGCCTGGGACACGTACAAGGTGAAATAGTTGCACACCTCACCTAGGGGTGACTTTGTATTGTTTGGAAGAAAAGAACAAACAAAGTCACACTGTGATTGAATCCTGAGATTCTATCCTATCCTGGGGGAATCCAGAGTAAAGCCATTGGGTTTCCTTTAGCATACCAATCAGCAGGGGCAAGCGAGGGCCAGCCTGGTATGAAGGTGACATCAGAGACATCTGTGTCCCTAGAATTCTAATAGCGCTCTGAAGTGTGGGCTTTATACTATCATCTGAAGGGCTGTGCATAGAAGCGTAATGCTTAAGAAACACCCTTTGATGATGAAAATATATGGCACTTCAAAATAGCCTGCTTTGTGAAAAAACAATCTGCCACATTTAAATTCTGAATATAGCTAACACTGAAATAAAATTGTCTGGATTAACTGTTGCAATAAGAGAGAGCTAATTTCATCCTGCCCTTGTCTGCATAACTGCTAACCATCCTTTAACCTCCAGCTCACCCATCCCCTTGCTGTCGTGGCAATGTTTCATATCTATTTACATCTGATATGTCCAGAAAGTAAGTCAAGCTGGTGAAGGTGCCTACTGTGTGGTTGGAGCTCCACAGCTAGCTTAGCACATTTACATAGTGCTGAGTAAATGCTTGTGGAATCACTGAAGGATGATACACAACAGGTGAAATAGTTAAAAGGGAACTGAATGAGTTAGCTAGGGTATTCGGCCTCAGAGTTCATGAAAAACGCTTGGATATGCTTCAGTTTATGCTTATCTTGAAGAATAAACTATTTTTTTCTTGCAAATAATTTATACCTCTTAATGAAAAAGAAAATGGGTTTGTAAAGAACCTCCTTTGTGGTTCTAACATGGAAATTGCCAGTATCACCAAAGATTTCTACAGTTCATAGCATCAGGCATATGAATACTAGGCCAACAGCAATCATTCTAAATTGGTCAACACAAATGAACCAGCAACGTGGGAGCCATGTGGGATGTGCTCACATTTAAAGAATACTGATGTAAATAAAGTAAAGTCTTCCTTGGGACCTTGACCTAATGTGGCATACCCATTATCTAAACTGACCATCTATTTGGGGCAGACCACGTCTCTTTGAAATGAATTATCCGAAAGCAAGTCCCTCCTCTGGAGTCTAATAACACATTATTAACTCCTTTGAGGCACCTTTGAAGTACAAATGTGTCATCACACATATAATAGTATAACATCATTTCTGTTTACAGTAAACACAGAGAAAACAAAAGCTACCATCTCAGAAGTACATCCAAACCATATGAACCTAAGACTTACTTTCAGGGACCCCTGTCACTCATGAGGCTATGTCACATGTCAGCAGCAGACCTGGCTCTACACCTCTGCCTTCAGTCTCTGTAGGTTGTTGCATAGTCCCTGGCCTTGACAAAGTCATTCAAAGTGGCTGGGCCTCAGTTTTCCCAATGACAGGGTTGGACCAGATACAGATGTGTAAATAAATACAATTTAAAAGCTGTTGGAACCCCCAAAACACTTTAAGCCTTGAGAGAGAGATGGCTGTGATCTGAGTCATACAGCATGTTATGCAATTCTACTTCTTAGATTATAGCTTAACTCTCTTCCTCATTGTTTTTGTTCTGTAAATGACTGCGAGACCAGAGATCGGACCTCTACCTTCCAATCACAAATCTTTGTTAGAGATTAAATGCCTTCTTTATTGTCCTGACCTATCTCCTGACCTAACTCAGACTAGATGGTTCCCTGAACAGGGACTCCATGACAGTTACATCTGCAGTAACTGCAATGGAATGTTAAATGACCTTTCTCAAAAGAGAAGGACCATCTGAACTAATCAGGTCATTGTGACTACGTATTAAGCCTTACACAGAAAGATGCTGAAATTCTGCTAAAATTCCCCAGGCTTTGTCTACATAAGCAATCTCAGACTTCTATGCTTTGTAACACTGACTTCCATTGTTAGGAATCTGTGCTTCTTGAGTGGGCTTGTCCTCAACTTTTGCATTTACACTCTCTTTAATCTAGATTCTGACCCTTTTCATTTTTTAGGTTGAATAGAGTACCTGAGAGGCCCTGTAGGTGGCTAGGGCTACACTGTCTTCCCAGTGCTTTCATCTGTTTCCTCTATTGAAGTTCTGGTGGACAAACACAAAAAACAAAAAGCAAGATGATTTTAAAGGCACTTGATGATTCAATTGTTCTTAGGATAAAAAAATAGCTTAAGAATTATCTTAAATATTTTCCTGGGACAAAACTAGGAAAAAAGTTAAAACTATCCATATAGGCGGGTTTTCTCCCACCTCCCTTTTTAATACCCAGGAATGTACTGGCTAAAATATTCCCAGCAATTCATGTACAACTCTAGAGGGCACCATTCATAACAAAGACAATGTCAATGGTGTTTCCTGGAGCCTGCCACTCAGTGGCCTTAAGGAGCCAATGAGTGGGCCTGCACTGGCATCTTATCTCTACTACTTACTAGTTATATGACCCTCGGCAAGCTATTTGATCTCTCTGATTCTGTTTCCTGCTCTATAAAATGGAGTTGATAAAGTATATTTCCAAAGTCTGCTATAAAAATTAAATTAGATAACATGTGTACAGAATCTGGTGTTAGGCAGCACACTAACACCTATATTAGTTCTTTAAAATCATAAAACTATCCTATTCCATGGTATAAGAAACAATTGTATTTAGGACTTGTGGCCCATACTATAGGGAGAGACCAAAAGATACTGAGAAATTGGCAACAGATTTCATATCCTAAAGATGTGGAAGATAACCGAAAGTTAAAGAGGTCAGAATGTAGTAGCCCCAGAAGCACCGAATTTTGAAGTCTCAGAAGTGTGATAACTGGCAGAAAAGAAGACTAATCAGCATACTAATTTATTAGGGTATGTTGGCACAACCATTATCAAGGATAAACAACTGTTTAAGACATGCTGCATTCATTAAGGTTATATGTGCTGCCAACAAATTACTATATGCTTAATTTAAACCTTTTTGTGCCTTCCTTAGTAATCCAGGACTTGTCAATATTTAATTGCACTAAATCTTTAATTGATTCTTTAGATAAGAAGCAATTAACCTACACAATAAAACTATAATTTAAGAATTACAGACTTTCAAAATGATGGAACTGAGATTTTATATAGCATCTGGTCTAACCTCTACATGTGACACCTGGGAAAACTGAAGTCTAGAGCAGCTGAGAGACACCTACAGTCACACAAGGCAAAGGCATTTCTGGCACTTGGTTTCGTTAACTTATTGTAATTTTTTCTTACTACAGGAAACCCTTATTTGGCTTGCCTAAATACACATACCAACAATTTAACATTGGACATATGAGTTCCCATCTCAACTCTGCATAATTTGGGGTTCACAAGGCAATGAAAGAAAGCTGAAGGGCTGGGTCAATGACGGACAAAAGCAGTGTGGTGGGGCTGTGTGGGAAGGTCTGAGGATATTCAGGAAGGCAAAGGAAGAATAAATTAGAGATCTATCGGTCTGGGATTTGAGTAGTGGCAATTAGGGTCTATTAAGGGACCAAATATAGAACTATTCTCTATATTCAGGCCTTATCTCAGTGACTAGCATGTAGTAGGTTCTTAGTCCTCATTTACTGTATGACTGGATAATGAACAGTAATTGAATGAATGAAAGAAAAAGCCTGTTCGTAGAGAAGAAATGAGACCTTTAAGGGTAACAGAGCAGGGGAACTGCCTAGGACAGTCTGTTAAGGGAGGAAGAGGAAGAGTCAGCAAAGCTATCCCTAACCTTAGCATGAGGGAGGTACCTCGTTTCCCTTGCAAGGACAGTGAGTGTGTGGCCCTTTTGCTTCCATCCACATTTCCATTCTGAGGAAGTGCAGTAGTTTCTATGGCACTGGGTCTGTTTCTAGCCACACTGCCCAGGATGGAACATGAGGAAGTGGAATGCTTGAGGGGAGTGTTTCTCCAAGAGCAACAGAAATTTCAAATCCATAATGTCACATTATTTTAAGAAGACAGTCTGTGCTTACATGCTAGCCATGCAAGCTACTGCCCATATGGACATGGATGAGAAAAATGCTTCATAGCAGGAACTGAAGATTAAGAAACAAATGTGATTCTAGGCTAGCAGAGCAAACTCCACCTAACGAAGAATGAGGGAAACCTGGGATTTCCTGGCCAACTTTTCATTCACTGAAAATGTGGCCATCTGTGGTCCTAAGCCTGGTGTGCTTCAACCTTCTGCCAAGTCTGTTATGGCTAGACTTTCAAAGCAGGAGTCATTTTAAGAGCACTGGTGGCACAGACATGATACAGAGCTATATCTCACTATATTTTCCAAATAGGTCAGTGTTTGAAATTCCCTTTCCTTTAAACATCTATGTCTAATATTTTTCACTTTTGTACCATAGGATGTGGCCCCTTGAAAAAATATACACCATTCATCACCTCTTGTATTTTCCTGGGATTAAACAGAGAAATTATAATAAAATAAGCTGCATAAATACCTAAGAAAGGTCTTTCAAGGTTCTTATGATGTAAGCAACTTCCTACTTAAAAGGAATGCCAACACCTCAGTGGATAATACCAGAGAATTGGATAATAACTTTTCTATATAACTTCTAGTAACTAATGGCAAAATGACAGTATGTGTGTCAGTTGCTAGGACAGAGTAATGGATTCTGCTGTATGTTCATATGAAACATATATACAGCCCAAGGAGAAGATGTGATGTATTTAATGTGATCTTTATTTAACATTTGATTAAGGCAAAGCTGGTGCATTTTTTAAAACAGTCTTTCAAAACCAAGGGAACAGGTCAGTGAAAAGACCAATGATATAAACACTCTTCCCCAACTCACAGAGTTGTCGAGACTTTTACATTTTTTGCAGTTTCAATTCTCTAAAAAGAAATGCCACCTAAAAAATGTGCTAAGCACCCTCTAAACATTTCTCATTAGGTTGTCGATGCTGGTACTCACCCCTTTACAGTGGCTTACTATACTCATCTTAACTCAGCTCTGTATGCCATTCAGGGAATAAACACAAGTTGCTATTTGAAAGAAAGGGGAAGCATCTGTTGGAATTTTTATATTAATATTTGTAAAACATCTTGAGAAAAAATAGGAAAAGGCAACCCAGAAAATAGTGTTCTGCAATGAAATTATAGAAAAGGTAGTAAAGAAACCAAACTAAAAGATTTTTCTAATAAAGGAACAGTTTTGTTCTCATTATACAAATAATCTTAGCTAAGTGAAGGTAAGAACTAGAAGGCTAATTCTAAAACAGACCAGCTTTTGGACAAGAGTAAAATATACCTTTGTGTCTAAATTTATCATACAATAAACTCCCTGGAATGGTTCTCGTGCTGTCTAGCTCTGAGCATATTGATTCTTCTCTTGTTTTTGTCTTTAATTACGCTGCTGAACTCCTAACTTCTTAAGGAAAAGTGAGCCTAAAGAAACAGGGTGACTAAGGTCATACAAATGTCCACTCACCTCCCATAATTTTGGATTGGCAGTTAATAAACTCCGGCTTCCTGTCCGTGAGGTACCTCTGGCAGGTATGGTGGAGGATCTGGAAGAAGGTGCATTTTTCTGACGCTGTGCTGGCTACCCATTGGTCAAAAGCATTTTCAAACAACAAATCAAACTCTGCTGAATCCTGGAAAAGACAACGAAATAACTATTCATCTCAATCTAGAAAAACTGCTGTTTCTAGATTACTCCTGTCAAAAGATTTATAAAGGCTAAAACAAAGACTTCGATCGCAATCATAAGGCTCATCTTTATCCAAGTGTATGGAGAGTCTGCGTTTCTCTGTTTATGAAGCAAACCCCAAATCTTACAGTATTGATACACGTTCCTAGGAAACTAGTATTACACAAGTTGAGATAGCCTAACTAAACACTGACAAATGTCAGAATTCAGATCATGTATTATCTTCCCAGTTTCCTGGAAAAGGGATTCCTTTAGGTTCTCAGCAATGACCTATATTAATCTGGCCCCTAAACTTTGGTAGGAAGATTCCCTCTTGCTATTTTAGTCTATAGTAACAATTTATATTTTATTATTCTTCATTATTAGCATTTTGTGAGGTGTGTGTGTGAGCAACGGGAATGTACTTTGAATAGATAACTATGTCAGAAAATGTTTCTCCGATTAAAAGCAAGGGAATCACAATACATACTGAAAGATACCATTCATTTACTTCATACTGAACTTTGTACTTGCTGATCAATGTTACCGGAGATCACATATCTTCAATATGCATTCTCTTAGGTTCCTCTATTAAACATGATGAAAAGATTTATAATTTCACTTAAGAAAGGACTATGTATCAGAAAGTTTTAATCCCATAATTGAAATAGAGAAATAGCCTCCTTAAGAGTGATTCAAACCACCACCACCACTACCAAGGTCAATCAGAGAGTCATCTTGTGAAAAGAATGCCTTTGCTCAGCATCGGACAATTCACTCACCCCATTAGGATCGATACCATTAACCTGGCGAAGCTGCTCGAGCATCCACTGTGATCTCCGAACAAACGATGTGGAGCCTTCAAACTGTTTGACCTTTGTAATGGACGCCTGTGTGGGTTTCTTGTTTGTCACTGCCAAGAAAAGATCACTCAGATTAGTGCACCTGCAAGTTGGTGGTTTGTTTCCACATTCAGTGCTGTTTCTACATGACACCTACTGTGTATATGCACAATAACAGAGAGAAGGCGGAGGGGGAAAGGAGGGAATATGAATAAGTATGTGTGCCTTTGGTCAGGGGTGAACGTAAAGGAAATAGATGTTATAATCTTCACTCTGAAGCAGTTTACAATATAATTGTAACTGTAAGGGCTGCTTCATTTATGTCTTTATCCATTCAAACTGAAAATGACTTAAGTGAATAACACCAAGCACCTTCAATGGAGGCTACAAGTGCACAATTACAGCTTGCAGGAAAAGAAGCATATAGTACTGACAGGCATCAGGTAGGGTTCACTGAGAAAGGTTGAATTTTAAAGGAAATGAAGGTAATTGGCTCCCCTAGAGAACTGCAAAGTATATTTCTAGTTTTATAGTCCAGTGTAAACATCTTAGGCTTCAGTGATGAGGAGTAATACCTCACTCAAAAAATCCCCAAACTATTTGGCTCTCTAATATTGTTCAGTTTGTATCTAGTTTACATCTAATTATGATTGAATCTGGTGTTCTGGGCACACCTCCACACCTGTAGGAAAAGGACAGTTTCTCCTCTCAGCCTCAGCGAGTTCTCCCCCTAAGCCTTTCTGTGCTAAAGACAGACAGCATCACCTCTCAGACTGATGTCAAGCATCAGGCACCAGGAGAGGCACTCTGAATATTTCTATACCTGCCTACTTTGTGACTTGGAGACTCAAGGGTAGGAAGTAATTAATGGTCTTTAAAGGGATTTCCTAAAAGCTTCTCCTGGACCCTGGCTGTAGGAATTAGCAAATTAGATAGAAAGGAACTACGGAAAGTAGAAATCATTATTGGCTATAATGAAGATGATCCTAATTACTGACTTGCTGAAGACTATGCATCTGCAGTGTTCCTTGTTTCAAATCACCCGACAGATTCCACACTTTCCAATAACTATGCAGATGCTCAACAGATGGCAGAAAGAATTCTTAAGGGATGAAGGACAGAAAGCACCTACTCCAATCACCATTGGTGAGCAGGAAGACTCTACAGTTCATGCATTCCATAGCTTATTGCAGCCCATTGTCTGTGGTCATTAAAGCAGGAGAGCAGAGACAAAGGAAAGGTGGCCACTGCCTTTAGATCTAGTGAGAACCCTACTTTCCCAGTACTGAAGACCACCTTTATGGCCTAAGTACTATCTACTCTCTCTGCTTCCAACCATAATTTAGTGAAGATTTGTTTTTAACTTCAAATAATGTTTCGGTTTATCACCCATTATTTCAGTTAGATTTGCTAAAAACTTCTGAATATTTCATACCAATTACATTTACTTTTATGATTAAAAAGTCATCATCCCCTTAACACCCACAATCAGATGAATTTTTATAGTCTTCTGTTACAAAGAGGAACAACCATTCCCTCCAACTGAATTCAGGCAGTATTACCAGTCTGCCCAGGACTCTGTTTATCCATTTAATTTGATTCATTTATTTTTTTGTGTCTCCTATGACACAAATGGGAGACCTAGTAGGTGTCTCTGATGACTGTGACCTGCTCTCACGTTTTAATGTTAAAGAAAACGATACACCTGGAATACAGACAGGTCTTAAAATGTGCTTAAAAGATTAAAGAAGGCTTTTCAATAACAGGAAAACATGGGTTCCTGTATTAGACACACACCCCTAAACACACAAAGAGAATTTCCTCCTGTGTTTATGTAAATCATACAACATTTAAGCCTGGGAAACATGAAGGCTTTCTTTCTAACTTTAAAGTTGTTATGAGCTCCTATTTTTACTTCTGGCCCATTTGTTTCCAAGTAATTTACAGCATTTTAAAAGCTTAAACACAACTCGAGATCACTGTATATTGCGGGCATGTTTTAAGATTCCCATCTAAGGAAGGTAAGTTCCACTGAAAGTTTGTCATTGAAATGAGGCATGCAGGAACCCCAAGTATTATGACAAATGACCCCATGGAATTCCTCCACAGTGATCACACTGCAGAGCAGTCTTTTTTAATGGAGGCAGTTGTAAGTCTATCCATTCCTGCCTTTTCTCCCCTATTAGTTTATTCCTCGCCCAGTTCTTGGAGTCTGGCTAGTTTTCCTGGGCACTGAGCCCAGTTTGGTTTAATTTTTGTTTATGGTTATTATCTCCAGCATCCTAGTTTCTATTTTGAAGCAGGTGTCTTAAAATTATATTATTATATACACATCGTATAGAGTTAAATTAAGACGTTCCCCTTCTGAAATCAAAACACTTGCACACACACCCCACTGCCAGACTTTTTGAGTACGTACTTGAAGAAAACATGTTTTAACTATTTCATGTTTTGTTGTTTTGGGGGTCAACAGCTGATAAAAAAAACATGCCAGTCACACAAAATCCAGATGTCTAGTGAAAAACAGTGATTTACCTTCTCCTTCCAAAGGAAAGCTAATTGACAGCACACCCTGGAAAATGCAACCAAATTATCTGGATCAGTAATATCACAGAGCTGCATGCTAGAGGCTCCCAAAGTCATTATTTTGGATAACTTTAAAGGTCAGATAACCAGGGAATTTCTGTTATGCCTTCAACATTCACAAGGAAGAGACCAACACAGAAGCATTTAAAGGAATAATGTGGGCATGACTTCCAGGTAATACTGCAGACCACTCAGAAGTAGCCGATTCTCCAACTTCCTGCACCGGTATCGGAGGCAGGCAGAAGCATGGGGGCAACCAAATTCAGGCCGCTTTGCTATTAGCTCTGAAAAAACAACATAGTTTTCATAGCTCATGCCTCCTCTTTTGCTTTCGTGTAGACTTGCTACTACATTTCAGCTTTGGTTAAGAAGCAGTGACACAAACTATTATGTCCCGAATATCCAGAATATCACTGCCATCATTACTCAAGTGGAGTAACATCTCTGTCTCATGAACAAATGGTCTAAAGAGCTCTTTTTAAAAATGGCCCTTCCATGAGACATTTTATAAAAGCAAAATTCGAAAACTTGCTATACTCAAATGGTGGAGACCAGTGACCTTGCCTGTGCCCAATATGAAAATTCTGTTTAATTAAAAACCCATAAGCCAGTCAATAACAAAGACCATATCATATCAAACTTGGTCTTGCAACAAGTCAGAAAAGTAGAACTGGTAGAAGAGGGAACAAAGACCAAAGGAAAGACAGAAAGACAAGTCACTTGCGTGTTATGTGAAATGGGAGAAGAGCTCAAGATTCAGCTCTTCTGAGAGCAGACCCCCTGTTTCAAGGTCCAGTGGCTGAAAGACCACTTTTTCCAAAAAGCCACACTCTTACACCTACACTCTCATTATTCACAGCATAATCCCTCAACTATTCCAAAAAGGAAAACCAGTTTGGCCTAAGAGACAAATTATCTATTTAAAATAATAGCCTTAAAATATTATTTTAAAGGAAACAATCAGTATATACCACTTCTACATCCTCAACTATCTCATATTTGAGATAGCTGAATAACATCTTTTTACACATCTTTATATATTTACTATACATATTGAACCTGAATTATTTTATAACTTTATGTGGCCATTTCTCAAAAAGTAAAAAAGAAAGAAAGAAAGAAAAAAAGAAAAGGGGTGAAAGAAAAACAGATTGCACCCCCAAAAGCTATAGTTTTGATGCTTAGGGTAGCTAAAAATAAATATCCTTAAAATATTATTTTAAAGGAAACAATCAGTATATACCACCTCTACATCCTCAACTAGCTCATATTTGAGATAGCTGAATAACATCTTTTTATACATTTTTATACATTTACTATACACATTGAACTTGAATTACTTCATAACTTTATGTAGCCATTTCTCAAAAAGAAAGGAAAGAAAGAAAGAAAGAAAGAAAAAGAAAGAAAGAAAAGGAGCAAAAGAAAAACAAATTCCACCCCCAATAGCTATAGTTTGATGTTCAGGGTGGTGAAAAAGCAGAATTTACCACACCTACATACCTAAGATGCCTTAAACTTTCATCACGCCCAGCCCTATTTTGACCTTACAGTTAAGCGAAGGTCCGTGTTTTGTGGTATGCTTCAGCTCTCTGCTCTGCTGGAGTCTAACCACCAGACATTTTGATTTCAACAAGAGTGCTGATGAAAAATAAATAATCTGGAGGCAAAAAAAGGCAGTATTCACACAGAATCTTATCAGGGCTGCTGTGTGAATGTGCCAGAGGTGACTAAGGGAAAAGGAAAAAGCAAGCTTCTGAAATGAGGGTTCAGGAAGTAACTGACTGTGGCTTCTTGGTGCTGCTGTGGTGACAGAACAGGCTATGTGGCCAAGGTGAGAAATAAGTATTTGAAGCTAGTTTCCTTACTGCTCTTCCAAAGCTCTAATGTATGATAATTCTAGGTGGATTTCACAATATCCATGAGAAACAAATATCAGGTCTGAGGCTGCTGCGTCAGCAATTCTATCAGGCAAGATTGCTGAATGTTTATAAAGCATAAAAGCAAAAATATCTAGTTTGTTACCTTAAATGCTTTCAGAACAGGGAAACATCCTCTCTGTTGTAGTTAGTGGGAAATGGAGCATGGTGCTCTCCACACAGGATTGATCTTTCGCTTCTCATACTATTTCTCAGTGTGTTATAATTTGGGGACATAACAAATGTTTAGACCCTGCAGGCTATGTAACCCAGAGTTGCAAACCAGACCAACTTTTGAAATGGTCAAGTTTGTCTCTGGGGCTCTCCCCTTCTCTTTCTGTTTCTTCCTTCCCATCTTAGAATCTGGCTCTCTGGCCAGATTCCCAATTGGACCCAAAGGGGTCTGAGATGGGATTCTAAAAATCTGCACGTTTTTTGTTCTGTTTTGTTTTCAAGACAGGTCTTGATCTGTTGCCTATGCTGGAGTGCAGCAGCTGCAGTGATGACTTAGTGCAGCCTCCATCTCCTGGGCTCAAGCGATCTTCCCTCATCAGCCTCCCAACTAG